CATCATCTTAAGTGACGGGCTTCTAAAGCGCGTTCTGGAGATGCCAGAAGGGGGGGAAGACCGGAAGCAGATAATAATCCCCAGAAACAGGATACCAGAAGTGCTGCAGGAAATCCATGATGGAACTACTGGAGGACATCTTGGGGTGACCAGGACGCTCGGAAGACTTAGGGAACGGTTTTATTGGGTCAACAGCCAACGAGATGTGAAGGAATGGTGCAAGAAGTGCGCCGTTTGCGCGGCAAGCAATGGACCCCAGAAGCGCCCAAAAGCCCCAATGCGACAGTACAATGTGGGCAGCCCATTTGAGAGAATTGCAATCGATGTGGCGGGTCCATTTCCGGAAACAGAGTCTGGAAATAAATACATCATCGTTGTAATGGATTACTTCAGCAAGTGGGCGGAAGCGTACGCCTTGCCAAACCAGGAAGCTGCCACAGTGGCCGATGCCCTTATTAAGGAGTGGATTTGTCGTTTTGGTGTGCCAATGGAGATGCATTCAGACCAAGGCAGGAACTTCGAATCTATATTGTTCCAGAATGTCTGTAAGATTCTTAACATTCGGAAGACAAGGACGACTGCATTACATCTGCAGTCTGATGGAATGGTAGAACGAATGAACCGAACGATAAACCGGTACCTGTCCAAGGTAGTCTCTGATCACCAAAGAGACTGGGACCACTTCCTCCATCTGTTCCTGTTGGCGTACCGTTCTTCTATCCATGATACAACCGGCCAGACACCCGCTAGCATTGTTATGGGACGTGAACTTCGTCTACCTTGTGACCTGAGGTTTGGTTGCCTACCAAAAGAAGATATTGCTGGAGAAGATTATGTCAGCAATTTACGTAGGAAAATGAGCGACATTCATAGCCGAGTTCGTTTAAACATCCAGAGTGCCAGTGATAGAATGAAAGAGGCATATGACATCAAGGCGGAAAATGGAGGATTTCAACCTGGAGACCTAGTTTGGTTATACAACCCTCAGCGCCGTCGTGGTTATTCACCGAAGCTGCAGACTTCTTGGGAGGGACCATACGAAGTCATGGATCGAATAAATGACATCATCTACAGGATCAGGAAACAACCAAGAGGAAAGCCGAAAGTGATCCATTTCAACCGATTGGCCCCTTACGCTGGAAACAATGACGATGCTAGAGTAAGGAGAGTTAATCCGCCGGAAGACGAGTTGCCTTTTAAAGACTTCATGTATTTATATTTGAGCGGTAAAAAAGCTCGGTATGGTGTCACTCGAGAAGAACAAAAAGATCTGTTCACGGTTTCGGCCGATTACTCCTTGGCTCACTGTGTTGCAGAAGACCTAAGGATGTCCAGGGGAATAGCGGTTGTTTTTAAAAACAAGTTTGGACGGATCGACGAGCTACGAAGGCAGAATCCCAAAGTTGGAGAGGTGCTTGAAATTGTGAATAATGAGCAGATAGGCAATAGAAGTATCTTCTATCTGGTAACGAAGCAACTCTCCTATCAGAAGCCAAACTACCGTGACGTATGGAATGCCTTAAATAAATTGAGGGATGCCCTTTTATCCAAGGACATCATGAACCTGGCGATACCGAAGATTGCTTGTGGACTTGACGGTTTAGACTGGAGAATAATTAGAAGTATGGTGGAAGTTATCTTCAGATTTAGTGGCATACACATTCTTGTCTGTTGCCACAACCCTAAAAGAACAACCGGAAGGAAGACCGTAGACTGCTACTTCTATAGGACGTCACAATGCAAGTTTGGATCTCTATGCAAATATCGCCATGGAGCTGAGGACCATTTTCGGGACGAAAATGTTTTAAGACGGGGGCAATGTAGCGAGTACCGCCCTGGATATCGGAGTGATGACTCATCGCCGATTAGTCATTGCCGGTGAGTCATCGCCGGTGACTCAGCGCTCGAATAATCGAGAGTATGGAGCTCGCTGGAATGTTCCAGAATACCTGGGCGCTGGATATATAAGAAACGGAGCAACACAGAGCAGTCAGTTATGATTTGGTACTCGCGGCGAAATAAATAAATATAAGTGCAAATAAATAGACTCTTGAACAATAGTGATATATAAATAGTTAGTAGTTAAGTGTTTAGTTAGTTTTATAGTGTTTTAAGTGTAACTAAGTTATTAACTAGTTCGTTAATTAACCAGTGCGTGTTTTAATTCACACTACGAACAGTTAAAAACGTTACAATAATAATAATAATAATTTCTTTATTAACGCAAATAATAGCAGTAACAATATATTAGTTTACAGGTACATAAAAAAAAAACAAACAACCCCCAATAAAATAAATAACTCAAAATAAATATAAATTATGTAGTATCACATCCGATTTAATTGGCGTCTATAAAATAAATAACTCCAATAAAATAAATAACTCAAAATAAATATAGATTATGTAGTATCACATCCGATTTAATTGGCGTCTAAAAGTACACATTGAAATGCCAAAAAAGTTACACTCAGACATCTCATTAACAGTCTTAGTCACACGACATATAGGCGAATTGCTAGCATACACAGTATGAAATAATGGAACTTGTAAAAGGGGATACTTTCTCAAGACTCTTATAGGAATTTGCATAAAAAACAAGCCAGTATCTCAGGGTCTACTATGAAATTATTAATCACTTTATAAAAAAATGTTGCATCAATATCTTTTCTTCTCTGTGTAAGTGTTTTAAGCCCCAAATACTGCCTTGTTTGATCAGTGCTTAGTGGAAGAGACAGCTTATAACGCATATAACGGATAAACTTATTCTGAATGGCCTCCAACCTATTAATGTGAACATTATAAACTGGAGACCAAATCGTAGAAGCATATTCTAGTTTAGAGCGTACCAGGGATGTAAATAGAGCCAACAGTGATCTGCATTCCTTAAAATCGACAGTCGTGCGCAGTAAGAAACCCAACATCCTGTTTGCTTCCGCAACCATTTTGTCAAAATGGTTGTGAAATTGCAGTTTGCTGTCCAAAATTACACCAAGGTCATTAACCATCTCTAGAGATTTTAACTTGAAATTATTAATATAATAGGAATTTAAGTGTTTAACTTTACTTCTGGAAAAGACTATAACAGAGCATTTGTCATTATTCAAAAACAATTGGTTTTTCTGGCACCATTCATTAAGTACATTCAGGTCACTCTGCAAGGCTTCCACATCCCTGTCAGCCTCGATACAACGATACAGCTTCAAATCGTCCGCAAACAAAAGAAATGGGGATTTAAAACTATTACCGATGTCATTAACAAAAATTAAAAATAAAATAGGTCCCAAGTGCGAACCTTGCGGAACTCCACTGGTGACATTAATGACATCCGACATAAAACCATTTAGTTTTACCCGCTGACTACGTCCCGCGAGATACGAAGCAATCCATTGGTGAAATTGAGGGATACCCTTTTGTCCAAGGACATCATGAACCTGGCGATACCGAAGATTGCTTGTGGATTTGACGGCTTAGACTGGAGAATAATTAGAAGTATGGTGGAAGTTATCTTCAGATTTAGTGGCATACACATTCTTGTCTGTTGCCACAACCCTAAAAGAACAACCGGAAGGAAGACCGTAGACTGCTACTTCTATAGGACGTCACAATACAAGTTGGGATCTCTATGCAAATATCGCCATGGAGCTGAGGACCATATTTTCGGGACGAAAATGTTTTAAAACGGGGGCAATGTAGCGAGTACCGCTCTGGATCTCGGAATGATGACTCATCGCCGGTGAGTCGGCGCTCGAGCGATCGAGAGCGGTTCGGAGCTCGCTGGAATGTTCGAGAAGACGATTGCGTGACTAGTGTCACGTAGGCACTGAATATATAAGGAACAGCGCAGCATGGAGCAGTCAGTCAAGCTTTGGTACTCGCGATAAAATAAATAAATATACATGCAAATAAATAGACTCTGGTACAGTGGTGATATAAATATTTAGTAGTAAGTGTTTAGTTAGTTTTATAGTTTCTTAGTGTTTTAAGTGGAATTAAGTTATAAAATAAATAGTTTAGTTCGTTAAATAACCAGTGCGTGTTATATTCACACTACGAACAGTAAAAACGTTACAAAATATTTGTGCGCATTGTACACTTTTCCTCCTTTATCCCGCTGCCAAGCGACTCGTTTTCTATATATTCTAATGCGGAGTTAAAGCTCCTGAATATAATCTTCTTAATTAGGACAAAATTATCTCGACATTGACAAAAAATTAACCTCAATTTTTTCTATCAAAGTCACGTGGTGGGACTTTGATGTTTGGAACATACACAATACCCAATACAATGTGTGGATGTTGAGTACTTTAATCAATGTTGTGGACATGGAGCTAGCCTACAAAAGGAGCCCGAACTTAATAGCGGAATTTGACAAAACCTGCCCTCTAATTCAAGGAGATCATCGAGAGAAACGACAAATTTCGGTTCAAGTTCAGTTACGGTTCTAAAAAAATATGGGTCTAGATTTCTTTTTATTTCTAGATTTTTTATTATAAGGAATCTAAAAAAAATAGAAAATTATTTTGTACCTATTAAAAGTACACAGTACTTTAGAAAAAATTGGCCACAGAATAGCCAACGTTTTATTCTGTAAAATATTTACCTTTTACAGAATATATTCTGTAAAATCACTCAATAACCGTAATACCTAATTTACTTATGCGTTCATTTGAAACACCATATTTTTTATGTAAATATTACATATTTTTATCCGTAATTTTATAATTTCTTACTGTGTACCTAGTCAAATTCTTAGCAAATCTTTCGAAAGTACCTTTTAGATCAGCACGATCTTTAAAACTTAATCGTGTTAATAAAAAATTCAATATTTGTTTTGCTTTTTTAAGTTTTCTTGAACAATGGGATTTGTGAAAATGTTTTTAGCTCGCATAATAAAACGCTATAAAGGCTACCTTAGCAAATTCTACCTAAATTGTGAAACAAGAGAGATGAAGATAATGTAAATGTGTTGGTAAGAAAGAGATGAAAGATAGTGAAATGACCGACAACCGACAAGCCGCGAGAGGTGTACGTACGTTCTGTACAGACGCCATAAGAGTCTAGTGAATTTGTGTTTTAATTTACGTATTTCGAAAACAATGTTATCAAGTAAGTCATTATTAGATTTTGAAAAGTATTGTGCTAGATAAACATGAGTGCTTTGGACCGTATTTAAAAATTTAGCCGGATATTTCCGAAAAATTTTAGACTACCCCAAGCTGTTTGGTTCGACCGTAAACAATAATGAGGCATTCTTCTAGTTTTGGCGGAATAATGCTAATTCGGTTATTTTTCGCGCTTTGACAATTGTGATTGGTGCAACAAACATTTATCACTTGTTTTTCATTTGTTTTTGGATTGAATCTGTGTTTTTTGCCGGCCGCGCCAAGTTTTCCATTTCCTTGCTATTCTGTTTACTGTCAAACGGTAAAATTTCACCAAGGCTTTGAAAAAATTGTTTTTCTGTGAAGGAAAACAACACAACTTCTGCTATATATCGCCAAGATCTTATCCTAGGCTTGAGAGATCTTTTAATAAAGTCCATTTAATGTTTGTTTCAAGGGCATTTCATGCAAAATAATGTAAAACTAAAGGTGGATTTAGCCATCATTTAATGTAATGTAATGTAACGTAACGTAATGTAACGCAATTTAACGAAAAATTGTGCCATTTATACAACATTTAGTATAAGGTTGTAAGCATGCGCAATGCGGACGTGTTGGTGTTTTTTGAAACCGATGTTGGCACGACTGGGTGATAAGTGACATTAGTGAAGTGAAGTTTCTTTGTTTGTTATTTTGATTTTAAGTATGCTTTTGAAAAGGACGCAATTAGTAGCCCTTCATTTGGGGATTTTGGGTATTTTGGTCGCAGGCTTTCAATACCTTCAAGCAAGAAAGAAGAAAAGAATCCGACGATTTGGTGTAAGACCTATTAATAGGGCCCGCAGGACATTGGGCCATTTTAGAACCCTTTTTACTGCCATGAAAGAAATAGACCCTGAGCAATTTTTTAAATACACTAGGATGACGTCTGACCAGTTTGATAACCTGCTGGAATTGGTGGAACCTCATCTGAGACGTTACAACAAAAACAAACTACACTTGTCACCTGCAGAACGTCTGGCAATCACTATACAGTATGAATAACATTAGGAACTCATTTAGTATATTCTCAAATAGTTTTCTTTCAGAGGGTTGCTCAATGCAGCAATTGGCATGGGACTATTATATTGGACATGCAACAGTACATGTAATAGTAAATGAAACATGCAGAGTTTTATGGGATGTACTGCAGCCAATATATTTGCCAGCACCAAATAATGAAATGGAATGGGAAAGGATATCAAATCAATTTTATAGCCGCTGGAATATTCCCAACTGTATTGGAGCGGTTGATGGGAAACATGTAGCCATTGAAGCCCCAGCCAATTCAGGCTCTGTTTTTTTTAATTATAAAAAACATTTTAGGTGTGTATGCCAGATTGTAGCTTGCCAAGTACTCAAATATTTTTACTTTTATTTCAAGTACAAGTATAAAGTACTTGTAAGAAATTTTTTTAGTAATTATTAACAATAAATACAGTTTTGATTGTAGCATAGTTTTATTTATATATTTTTTGTTTTAGTATTGTGTTGATGGCTGCTTGTGATGCCTACTATAGATTCACAATGGTAGATGTGGGAGCAGCTGGTGGAAACCATGACTCTTATGTTTTTCGTGAATCAGCCTTTGGAAAAGCATTGCTAAATGGCCAGTTGGGCCTTCCACATCCCTGTCCATTACCAAATACCAATATAAATGTTCCTTATTTTTTGGTGGGTGATGCAGCTTTTCCACTACATACAAACCTTATGCGTCCTTACCCTGGTGATCATCTGGATGATATGCAACGTATTTTTAATTATCGTCTTTCACGCGCGAGACGTATAATTGAAAATACTTTTGGAATATTAGTGCAGAGATGGCGAATTCTACGTCGCACGATTATTGCAAATGTCGATAATTGTGAGGCATTCATCAAAGCTACGATTGTGCTGCATAATTATGTGCAAAAAAAAGAGGAACAAATTCCGGAGGCTAATCGCCAATATTGTCCCACTGGATTTGTTGACTATGAAGACCAAAACGGAGTTTACCATCGTGGACTATGGCGTAGGGATTTGGCACCGTTGCGACCAATAGGTCGTTTGGCTTCAAATAACAGTGCGCGAAGTGTACGAGAACGAAGAGACAGTTTGGCCAATTGGTTTATATCCCCCCAGGGTGCTTTACCGTGGCAATGGGACCGTATATATGAAGGGGGCTTGCCTGAACTTTAAAGGTCTTGTGGTTTTTTTCATAAATTTGCTGTTACACCTGTTTCCAATAAATAGCCTTGTAATTTTGGTTTAGTCTTTTATTTAATACAAAAATTTATTTAGGTTTATGGGGGGAGGGGTCGAGTCAAATCTCACGCGGGGGGGAGGGTGGTCCCGGCAAATATATTTTTAATTTTTAACTGATTATTTTTATACAAGCTTAGGATCCTTATATTTTGTAATAAAAAATATCTCAATATTCCCTGACTAAAAGAATATTTAAGACCATAATTGTCCCCCCTAAGTTTTTAATACCCATGTAGGTGGAATTCCGAGTAATTTTTTACTGATTACAAATACATTATGAGAACACACCAATATGACTGTTGCAACTTCAGAATTCATTTATTTTTTTTATTACAAAAGGATATAAGCATGGAAATAGTTGCATATGAAAATAATCAGTTAAAAAATTAAAAATATTAATAAAAAAGGTTGGGTCATCCAAAGTTTAAAACATTTATTAATATTATATATAATAACAAAATTTTGTTCTATTAATAAATTAATCGCTGTCGTCCGAAGCGTATTTATCTAAAATACCTAAAATTTCCAATCGAGCGCGTCTCCAGTTTTTTTTATTTTTTATATCCCTCATACTTAGCCCTACCATTTTTCCAAAGAGAATGCTTTCATCCTCCGGTGCTTCCTCAACTTTATTTAAAATATTATTTAAATTTGACATAACACCACTGACAGTCTCCTGGAAAACTTCTGCAGAGGCATCACTCTTTCTGCACCGTTTTTTATCCTGGTGGACCCTGCTAGATGAAGGTGTAGCCACTCTTGATGCAACTCCTGATGCCACTCGTGGTGCCACTGCTGATGCCACTCGTGGTGCTATTGCTGATCCAACTCCTGATGCCACTCGTGGTGCCACTCCTGATGCAGCCTGCCTGCTGCTTGGCCGAGACAGCGAGTCAGCCTCTGATTCCTCCTGAGACGAAGATCCAGGAAGTGAAAATAAAGTATCATTAAGAACTTCATCATAAATCATTGACTGTCCATATTCCCCACTTTCCACTGCATTAAAGTTGCTACTCGTTCTGCAAAAGCAATATTTTGTTAGAAAGGCCTCTAAGTTTAAGCACGTGCTATTTGAATGCCTTTACTGTACTTTAGGGTAACAGTTAATTTGAGTCAAAAAAATGTTGGTCATGCCACCACCTAAAGAGCTTTTAAATAACTTTTCTGTACACGTGTATCTGGATGATAAATAAATAAATAAAATAAATAAAATTATGTGGTCTAAAAATTTTAAAAGAGGTTTTTTGTTTAAAATCTTAAAAATATTTTGTTTAGGCTTTTTTTAACCCAAATTAACTTTTATTATATATAATAGTATTAATATACATAAAATTACAGTTTTTTCAGTTGTGTCTCTACATAAAATAGGAAACAAACTTTCACCACATAGTATACTGTACTTACTTTCTTTGTTTAACGTGAGTGTCCAGAAACGCCATGTTTTTAAATAAGGGCCACTCAGATGTTGCTCCTGACCCTGATGGAACTCTTGTAATTTTTTTTTTTTCAGCCGAAAACCTATTCCTGCATACATTCCATCGTTGCTGGACATCTAGTACTGCAAACATATCTCATGTATTTTTATCTAATTGTTGGCTTTAAAACTTACCACTCTGTTCCAAAATAGCAGCTATGCTGCTCCACGCCTGTTCTTTGTACTGTTTTTGTTTAAAATTTATATTGCTTTTATCGTACAAACAGGGATACGACGACACCAACTCAATTAATGCCTGATCGTTCATTATGACAAAACAATCTTTACTTTACAGACACAGGTTATAAACACAAAACACAATAACGGAATAATGATGCTAACCTCCAAACTTTCGATAGGAAATTTCAGAGACAAAGGGAAATTTTGTTGTTGCAAATAAGGTTGGTATTACGCCACGCAAGCGCAGATTGATTTTCATGTAACATAATTTAAGAAAATTAAAAGTTGTCCAACTTTACCTTACATTACGTTACATTATATGATGGCTAAACGCGTCCATAGGGTTATATAGTTTTATCTCTTAAATTAAATTACGTTACGTTACTTTACCTTACATTAAATGATGGCTAAATCCACCTTAATTAAAGCTTATTTATTGTTTAATAACCTGCTTACCCAAAATAAAAGTAAATATAGGTATCAAACATAAACATTTTAAAAGATAATTTTATTATGAACTCAGAATTAACCGGTGTGGACGAAAATTATATAAATGTAGGTAATAGCTAGTTTAAATATTAAAATATTTATACCTATTACTAAGTGACCAGATTCTGTCAAAAAATAGATGAACATTTTGTATGAATTTACCTTAATTACAAAATTGGCACAATAATACAGTGGCAGACACGGAATTTTGAACGTCATAATTTGGTTGACCGTGTATAAATCTGTAAATAGCAAAGATACAATATTGACTTTTTTGCTTTTTCTGCCAAAATGACAAATCTAGTGATAACCAGAAGTAATTACCTTAAAGTTAAGTTAAGTCCATAAAGAAAGTCTCAACGGGATTATAGTCGTTCAAAATTCCGTGTCCGCCACTGTACCTACAATGCAAATTGTAAATTTGACATTACTTAATTATTGTTGATTGTGTCATTTTTGTAATTAAGGTTAATTTACACAAAATGTCCCGCTATTTTTTGACAGAATCTGGTTACTTTACTATATATAATATATTAATATTATAGATACCTAGGTACCTACTATTTATTATACTATAAAAATGTTTAACGTTTATTTATCCATATTTACCTACATGTTCCAATGTTAAAAAATATTTGGAGTGTCTAACTCTAGGCAAGTCAGTTCAGTAGGTACTATCGATAACAAAAAAAACTCATACAGTTATATTGTGGCTGTGTGAATAAAACTTTTCCGTCAATGTCAAGCTGACATCGAGCTTTGTCACATCCATTATGACTTTTTTAACAACATTTTCAACCAAACAATGCAGACGAACTCTGGCAAGCCATTGAAGCCATTTGGAACTAGATAAAGCAAGACGGCGACTTCCTTGCTTTGCCGTTTGCGGGCAGTAATTGACAAAAACAGAGGGATGACGAAATATTATTTTTTTTTCAAACTTCAACCTAACTTTGTATTTAATTTTAGACCTTTCAAATGTGACGTATCATGTTAAAAGCCATAATTACTCCAACGAAATGATAGAAAATCAGGAACACTAGATTTTTAAGCTGTATGAGTTTTTTTTGTTAGCGATAGTAGGTATCTTTAAAGTTATTATTCAAGCTATTTTTTATTTGTTTTCTTTATTTTTACATATAAAAATATATCAGTAAATAGAGAACCTTAGTAATAGTAAATTATAACTGATTTATGATTCCAAATTGTAATATTTCCATTAATAGGAACGATTGTTACTGTAAAATTATGTAATTTTTGTTGTAATTTATTCTAATGGATTTTGTTATATTTTTTTAGACATTATCAATTAAAATTGATTCGAGAATGAACTCAGCATTGAAACCAGTTTTGACAGCATCTGGCCCTCAAAATTCCCAAATACCAACCCAACTAAACAAGCCCATGCATCCACAAGGAGTGCCTACAACCTACGGGCAGCCCACAAGCCACATGCCCCAAAATTTGGTTAATCTGCCACATAATACCAATGTGGCACATTCACATCCAAATGCAGTCCAGAACCATTACTCGTTGAATGTGCCTAATTCCCAGCAGCACTACATGGGGTCTAACATACCTGCTAGCAACCACCCTGTTGCTGGTGGACAAATGTATAATGTACCCAAAACTACACCATTTTCAGGTGGATATCAACCCAACCTCGGACATCCTCCAAATGTAAGATTTTTTTAAATTTACTTTTTTATTTTATGTTTAGAACAATTTACCATTTAATTAGGTACACTAGTTTACAAAAATTTCCTCATTTAACTAGAGCATATTTTAAGGTACCTAAAATTTTGTGCGGTTTCCAAAAAACATAAACCACAATAGTTGTTTCCTGCTCTAGATTTTGAGATAAACATAAAAACTTAAAAAACAGCACTGTTAGAACAATTAATTACAAATATGCAGATAAAAGTTTTATTTGATATCTAATCAATCCCAGATCTTTATAGTTATGTTCCATTCACATCTCTAAATTAAAAAAAAAACACTTTTTTACCTTGGATAAAGTGGTTCTGGTTGAATGAGGGTTCCATTGAGGAACAATTAAGGCGCTTTTTACAAAAACCAAAAATGTCTTGTTGAATATTCTTTATTTAAAACAATTATGAAGATAGACTTGAGATGTTTAAACCTACAGATTTGTCTTAAAAATATCTATTTCACATCATTATCTTGCTAAATTAATGATTACTGCCTCAAAATATTAATTGAAAATATAAGTACTTTCATTACAATTTGGACTTTGTAAGAAACGCCTCAATTGTTAACTTTCTCAATTTTTTTAATAAGTGTTATCTTTATATGTAGGTAGGTTTTTGTAAATATTTGATTTTACATGTCTGTAATTTATTACTAATACAGTTATTTATTTATTTGAACGCAAATAAAATATTATTAAGAGCCTAATAATATACAAATGAAATTATTATTAACAATTTTAGTCGTGCACTAACGGTATGCCACGCATGAAGGTTATTTTAAAAGTTTTATTTTGGTATTTTTTTGGGTATTTATTTATATATATTAAAGGATAAAAAACAATTTTCTAAAAACGTTTAAAATTTGTTAATAATATAGTTGGGCGTCCCTTTCATAAATGACCATCATAAGTGACCATAAATGATCGCTACAATCATTAATCCACTGAATTTCAAATGTGGCCGACTTTAAATTTCGCAAATTACAAATTTTGTTTTGAATCAAAACTTAAAAAAAACGCACAAAACGTTCTGTTATTTGTGTTCACCCAAATATAAACTTGATTTTTAAAAATTTTAGATTTTTTTGTTATTAGCTGGCCATACACAGACGTTATTGCGCGCGGTTTATCGTGTTATCTGCAAAAACATATGGAAAATCATGTACGTGAGTGAGTATCGCCGCGCGCAATGATAGAACGGGAAGGGATTTCAGACGTGCTTTTCTATGGAGTGTGGCGTGTGCACACGCCACATTCCGCGTCACGGTTTACCTTTTGCTTGGCAAAATTTCAAGTTGAAAATTTGTACATGATCACATGCAGTTTCAAACGACTCGATAAATGACACTTTTTGCCCACTCACATACGATTTTTCCTTTGAAACTGATATACCATGGGCAATCACTTGCTAATTGATTTAAATGATTTAAATCATTTGAATACTTTATCAAGTGTATGGAACATGACGCTTTTTTTGCCATGCCGTTCTTTCGTGCATACTAACCGCTACATCCCAACACGCCACGATAAACCGCGCGAAATAACGCCTGTGTATGGCCAGCTATTCATATTACAACGTGGTCAAAAAACGTTGTTCTGACACTTGTTTATTAATTAATAATTGCCATCATCAATGATGTTTTTAAAACTGTTTATAAAACCTAAATTACTGCAACCCACAGTGGCGTAATTAGAAATGAGGGCCCCAGTCGGATTTTCACTAGGGGGCCCTTACCAGTAATTTTTTTTTATTCATTTACCTTACACAAGAATATTCATTGCTCAGGATTTTGAAGGGATGTATTTATTATTCAAGGTAGGGATACAAATGATGTTGAAAAAAAAAGGATGAAGTGTTATTCACGTAAAACGTTTTATTTTTATGGTATACTCAAATCAGATCTACGTTTCAAAGAATATTTTTATTCCAATATTTCAAACTGTCTCATTGCAAACATTGTACATTGTATGCTATAGCATATATACAAGGTGTCCCTAAACTTATTGGTTGATTGAGCAAGTCAAAATAAGACGAAAACCTAAATAAATATTTTTCCTAATTACTTATGTTTCCAAGATACGGGGTGATAAAGTGTAACTTATCATATCAGTTTTTTTAATATAACTTCTACTATGGTGGTCTTGAAAAGTTGATATTTTGCGAACAGTCACTTACTACCAAAACACATATTCACACATAATTACAATTGTTTGAGTGAACACAGTGTCATAGAAACGGGGGTTGCTTTAGGCTTATTACATACAAACTTTGAGGTTAGGTTTTTATAACATTTGATGCAATTTTTCGATCACTCAGTTCGGCTACTATTAAAAAGGTGTACCTCTAAACCGTTTCCGAGATATTCGAGATTACAATAATTGTTAAATCGCATTATTTAAAAGGATTTAAAGGTACATGATAACAAATTTTATTTTTTAATTGAAAAAACTAAAAAGGGTATTCTATGAGTCTCGGGGTTTTTTTGCCCTGACGGTCACATTAAAAAAAATTGTAGTTTTTTCAATTTAAAAATGCGATATAACAATTATTGTAATCTCTAATATCTCGGAAACGGTTTATTTTATCGAAGTTTGAGAGGTACACCTTTTTAATAGTAGCCGAACTGAGTAATCCAAAAATTGCATTAAATGGTATAAAAACCTAACCTCAAAGTTTATATGGGACAAAAAGCTTAAGCAACCCCTCTATCTACGACACTGCCCTCACTCGAACAATTGTAATTACGTGTGAATATGTGTTTTGGTAGTAATTACTAAGTGACTTAAGTGACTGTTCGCAAAATATCACCTTTCCAAGTCTACCATAGTAGAAGTTATATTAAAAAAACTGATATGATAAGTAACACTTTATCACCCTGTATCTTTTAAACATACGCAATTAGGAAAAATATTTATTTAGATTTTCGTCTTATTTTGACTTGCTTAATCTGCTCCTAAATTTATGCCACTAAGTTTAGGGACACCTTGTATATTAATTTATAGTACTACTAATTTATGCTTATTATTAATAAGATTTCGAATTTGAGAGTTTGAATCTTGATTTTTTTATCCAAAATTGTAAATGTGAAATCGAAAATTTCTTATATTAGATTTCAAATTTTTCATTTTTATTTTTTCATCTCTGAATTTTTATTTTTGACTAAGAATGTATATTTCCTATTCAAAATTTTATACTTTCGATGTAAAGTATTCGATTTCGAGTTTATGATTCTAGATTTGTAATTTTAAATTTCAATTAACCTAGGTTTATTTCAAAATATTTAATTCCAAGGCAACGAATATTTACTACTACAAAATACAAAATTTTATTTTTTCATATTGAATATTTTTCTTATATTTAGATAAAAAAAAATTCTCTTGCCCCTTGTGATCGGGCCCCGGTCTCTGAAACCGTAGTTACGCCACTGGCAACCCATAATATGATATAATATATTATATATAATATATTATAGGTATAACATCCCATGCATGGCCATAAGAATTAGCTTAGGGGCTTAATTAGTTCCATAGTAGCAGTTATTCCTGTGTTTTTAATGATTTACTTACTATATTTGTTGTGGTTATATTCATAAACAGCGTTAAATATCCTATAAGGAAATTTTTCCCCACTGTTTGCCATTAGTGCGCCATTTTCAGGAAACCTTGTATATAATATTTAGGCTAAATTATTAATTACAATGAGGTTTAGCCGCTTGTTAATAATAATGACTTAAATAATGTATTGTATTAAATATTGATAATTATTGTACTTCCAGTTATAACTTTATTATTTACCAAATTTAACGAAATCATTTTTATCTGTTATTGCATCAAGGTTTTTCAACAAAACGCGATGCCCCCGGTAAGTCAGTCCTTGCCTCCGACTGCGCAAGTGCAACAGGCACCAGTGCCCCCGCAACCAGTTGCAGCCGCACAGCCGGAACCGGAAAAGCCGCAGTCGAACGGAACATCGGAAGAAAATTTCCCTGTCAAACCGGAAAATCACGTTTCACTTGTCAAAGATAAACCACCAACCAATGTACTTCAGGTAAAAATAAAATAAAGAATACCAAAATATTTTCAATACAATTTTTTTATTTTTAACAACTTGTTTTAATTTTTTTCTTAAAGCTATTTAATAGTAATACTAATTAAAATTAAGCACTTATTTATCCCAATAAACAATTTCTTTCGTTTCAGCCCGCTTCATCGGAAAAATTAGCCGAAAAAGTCCAACCAACACAACCGGCCGCCGCCGCCGCCGGCCAACCCGCAGCTCAGGAACCCGCCGCTAAAGTTCCCGCCGAATCGAGTGCACCAAATCCTGCTAGTGCCGCCGACGGTCCAAGCGAAACCGATTCTGCCGCCGCCAAAACCGCTTCGCCCGAAAAAACCGCCCAGGTCCCCGCCGTAGAAGCAGCGGCGGCCGACAAGGATGACGGTGAGGAAGAGGGGAGCGGCGACAGTAATTTCTCTGATTCGTCCGATAAGGATTCGCGACCGGCAGCGGGTATTGCCGAACCCGTCACGGCCGATAGCGAGGTTGAAAAGTCTCAGGAACAAGTAAGTTTAAAAGTAATACTTTGTTTTATTTTTAACAAGATTTTTAATTTAAATACATATTAGGCCTCTAAATAAAAACAGGAATTTCAAAAAATTGTTTAAAAAAATCCAAGCTTCATTATTTAAAAAGATTGAGCCTAAACCTAAAAACAATAGGTTTACTTTGTTTATATTGTTTCAAGTCCTATTGTACAGGGTGCACCAAGTATTCTTCAAGGTCGGTTAAATTAGAGAAAAGTTACGTAGTTTAAACTATTAAAATGGCATTTAAAAATTGAAAAAAATAATCTGCGGTTTTTGAATAATTTGAAAAAAAACTGAAAACCTGTAAAAAAATCGCTATAACTTCGTTTATCCTGGGAATTTAAAAAAAAGCAAGTTTAACGTGTGAACTAGGGTTTTAAAATTTCCGAAAAAATTATAGGAAAAACATTTTTTTCCGGAAAAACGGAAATTTTCAGAAAAAATTATTTTTTTAATTTTAAGTTTTATTCAAAGGGTAATACGAAAAAATGCAAAAGTCAATTTTTTTGAAAATTTACAAATTTTTACGGATGATATCCGTACACTGATATCGAGAATTTTCGACGCTGATTATAATCATAATATTATGATTATAATAGTTATTCGTTTTATTTTAATTTAGTAAAAATAATCTACCGGGCCGCAAAAAAAACATATTTGGGGCTGTATTGACATAACTTTTATGTAACACTTTGATTTATAAAATTATAATTTTGTAATTTAACTTGTAAATCATTCAATATTTTGTAGTTGGATATTTTTAATGGACTCCTTTTTTCAAAATAAAAAAAAACAACCGACGGTATATTGCATGTTTACGTTTATTTTTCTAGGCCTGGGAAAAAACAGGATTTTTTTTCGCAATTTTTTCGTTTTTTTTTCGACAATTTAAAACCCTAGTGTAAACTTATTAATTTATCTATCTATCTATCACATGGTTAATAGGCTAAAAGTTATGACGGCCATTATAAAAACAAAAGATGGTGATGATAATTTAAAATATAGTATTGAAAAAATGTATAAAAATTTAGATTAATGTGGGTTTTTTACATGCAAAACTAACTTTTTTTTAAATTCCCAAGAATAACGGTTTTTGGTTTGTTATAAAAATTTTGATAACCGCTGGCTTTTTTTACAATTTATAAATTTTATTTTAATAGGCTTGTAATTACACAACTTTTCTTTAAATTAACCAACCTTGTAGATCGTCAAATAAAATAAAATAAATAATAAGAAGGTTACATATAGGATACTTGCTGCACCCTGTATAAATGTTTAAACAATGGTTTTATTATGAAAAAATGCATTTTAGGATTTTTACTTAACAATACTCATGAGTTAGGCCACAATCCACACAACAAGGTCTGTTCTATCTCATGCTAAAAATACTAAAAATCACTTCAACACTGCAGAGAGTTTAACGGCGGCCATTTTTGTTGTTTACAATTCTTGTGCTTTGGGTTTGTGCTGTTTAATAATTGTTTTAAACGTTGTGTTTCTTATAGAGACACTTTTAAGCCTTAAAAGTGCTTTTTACTCTTCTTTTGTAAAAAATAAACCTTATTTTATCAGGTCTGTCAAATGTCAATTTGCAGGTTAATTTGTGGGTTAAAATTTACATTTGACAGTTTGATGACAGCCCTGATAGAATAAGGTTTCTTTTTTTACAAAAGAGGAGTAAAATGGTTGTTCTTAGCACTTTAAGGCCTCTTTTAAGGCTTACAAGTGCCTCTGTAAGAAAGATAACGGTTAAAACGATTATTAATCTGTATAAACAGATCACAAACCCAAAGCACAAAAATTGTAAAAAACAACAATGGCCGCCGTTAAACACTGTGCAGTATTTCAGTGATTTTTAGTATTTTTAGTATGAGATAGAACAGACCTTGTTGTGTGGATTGTGAGTTAGGCAAAAAAACGTAAGACCCTATTTGACACTTTCTAATATTGTTGTTTGTTGTCACGATGATTAGGAATAAAACTATCACTTTCTTATTAGGAAATTTTGCCATTTTTTGGGATTCCTGGGTATTTGCAGTCAGCAAATTGCAGATCATACACCTTTAATGTTGTGAGAGACTTTTGGGACACCCTCTATGTAAATAATTTGTATGTATTAGGGTGATTCAAAAAATAGACTTTTTTTTACTTTTAATATAAAAAAAATGGTTGCTGGGAATTTCAATATAAGATCTTACTATTATGAATAAAATCCTCCTCATTGCAATTTTCCATTTTTACATTAGTCTATGAACAAAAAACAAATGATTTTATATTCTAAGCCCAATAGATGCAATATAAGTTTATAAATTAAGAACTATTTTTTGATATTAAAAGTAAAATAAAAGAATAATAGATTTTTTGTATCACCGCCACCACTCAGCTGATATCATCATAACAAAAGTAGAACTTTTAATAATCAGCTGTCAAACGCTTAGGTTACAAACGATTGTTTTTGAGAATAAAGCCGGAAAATGTTAAAAATATTAAAAAAAAAACCGTGGATCCATTTGTTCTGTTGTTGGGTGTATTTCGAGAGGAAATCCTTGGTTGAGTTTTTACCGGTTTTCCAATAAACAGTGTTAATCTGAATGAATAAATAAATTGCATGCAGTCCCTGAAAATATAAATTGTACCTATTATTAACGTGAAAAGTGTAAACATTTCAATTCAGTAAAAATCGTCAAACAAATAAGTCGTCTAAATTTAAACAGCATTTAGCATTATTAAAAGCGTTGATTAAGAATTCTTTAAAGTCTCCACTCAACGGTAAAATACCATTATATTATGTATTATATATTATATATTATATAATACAAACAAATAAGTCGTCTAAATTTAAACAGCATTTAGCATTATTAAAAGCGTTGATTAAGAATTCTTTAAAGTCTCCACTCAACGGTAAAATACCATTATATTATATATTATATATTATATAATATTATGTTGCCAGGAATTCATATGTATATTTTGTTGTTTAAAATGCAGTTGTCAGCGTTTTTTAAAATGATTGATTTTGAGGTTATGTTTGTGCAAAAATTATTTTTTACTAATTTCTTAAAAATGTCCAAACTTAAATATAAATTATATTAGGTAAAGTTAATTCTGCACCAACAAATGTACTTACCGAAAACATGAAAATGCAACGATTTAGTTCTTGAATTTTATTTACAATTAAAAACACACTGATCCCTTTGATAAAATACACACAGTAACGTAACTATATAAGCATTTAAGCGTTGAGTTTCTTAGTCAATGATATAAGGAATAATCAATTAAAATCGAGTACTAAAAAAGTTTTTTAATTTTTTTTCTTGCAACGTAAAACACAAATAACGTGCGCGATTTAGCTGTGCAATTGAACAAAATTTGTCGAGTAAGACTTCTGCCTTCCGTTTTTTTTTTTGTAAAAAAAACACCGATATAATATATTAAATATTATTTAAAAATGATGTATAATCGGTGCCACAGATTATCGGTGCTTTAAATTTATTGTTGACAATTCTTAAAGTCACGCAATGCATTCGAAGTTCACCAGATGGCGCGCGCGTTGCGAAAACCCGATACTTCTTTGGCTGTGTTCCGTAATTTACTGCCATTAAGTTGTATAATCTGTGGCCATTACTGTCAGTAATTTTACTGTCAGTAGCGGAAAAGGACTGTTCCGTAAGTTATTCAGTACTGACGCACAGTGAAATTGGAACGCTCCTCAGTAGCAGCAGAAAGTGACAATGGTTACGCAAGGTTATGATTTGTGATTTACTGACAATTGACAAACTTTACTTTCGGCACAGCAGATAACATAAATAAAAAATAAATATAACATTTATAAGAAATATAATGTTTGGTTTATGGCAGAGAAATATGGAAAATTTAATGTTATCGTCGTCCGCGTCGAAAAATGTATATAGGAATAGGAAATATAAAATTTCACTGACACCACAACAATAAGCCAAATACCAAAAATTACTCTTAAATTCGTCCGCTGAATACAAATGTATATCATTTTTTTAGGTACTACCTATGGGTATTGTACTATAGTAGGTAGTTTCATATTCTGGGTCTTCGTATGCGTACTCCCCGCCGACCTGCCTTCGTCACTGCTGCTTGTACTTTCAAGTAATATTTTATCAATAAATATTGAAATAATTAGTCCTATAGGTATTCATCAAATACCATTATATGATATAATTTATATCCTTCACTTTATTTGACAGCTATTTTTTATTTTAAAGTTTGGTTATGTGTTTTACTGGAGCCACAGCACCTCTCTGTCCCCAGTTGTTTCAGTAAAATTAATCTGCCGTACATTTATAAAAGGGTAGTATTTACCACTGAGCTCAGTAACTGAAAGTGGATTTCGGAATGCGTTTTCAGTACCGACAGTACTGACAGTAAATTACGGAACATAGCCCATATAATTTATATCCTTCACTTTATTTGACAGCTATTTTTTGTTTAAAAGTTTGGTTATGTGTTTTACTGGAGCCACAGCACCTCTCTGTCCCCAGTTGTTTCAGTAAAATTAATCTGCCGTACATTTATAAAAGGGTAGTATTTACCACTGAGCTCAGTAACTGAAAGTGGATTTCGGAATGCGTTTTCAGTACCAACAGTACTGACAGTAAATTACGGAACATAGCCTTTAGCGTATCTATAGGTACTTAATTTTTATTTAATTTTTTTTCTTATGAACAGTATAAATTTATTATGTCAAAGTCATGTCAAGTACTACAAGAATATTTTATAGACCCGGTATAAAAAACTGTCAATTTTTTTTTCTATGACTGACAGTAAAAATATGATGGCTAGCTTTTTATGTTATTTTTTCCAGCCTCCGCCAAAACAATCTTCTCCCGCCAAGCCTGCAGCCACAACGGCCAAAACCCCGCCAAGAAAGGCCAAAGCAACGAAAGCCGACGTGGCCGCGTCGCCCAAAACTCCGAAAGCCGATGCCAAATCGCCCGGCAAATTGACCGCCACCGGCAAACTGAAGAGGCAGAGGACCAGGACGCAACCGTACCAGAGCCCGTTGCCCGAGCTCGAGATCATCTCGAAAATCAGCTCCCACACGCCCAGAACCAAGACGCAAGACGAGAAGTTGGTCGTGTTTTACAAGTAAGAGATATTTTTATTAACCACATAACCAAAATTTTAAAATTTGATTAATGGTCAACCTCAAAAAGTTTGCAGGGATTTTATCTAAAATTTATTAATAATATCCAATGTTATTTCTAACGAATTTTATAGCTTTATTATTTTATAATTCATATAGGTAACTTGTATTTTGCGCTACTTTAAATTTAAAGTTTTTTTTACTTGTTTTTTTTATGAAAGTTATAAAAAATGTTTTATAATAAATTATATAAATTTTTCTTGTATTTTGGCCCAAACTTGGAGTTTGTATGCTACTATGGTGTCTTTAAGACACTATAGATGGCTACTTGTCCTTTCATAAAAAACATAAAAACAAACCCTTTTTTAATTAATAAGGTTTTTTAAAACTTTTTTTTTCAAATTTGAAAAAAAAACTATAGATGGGAAAAAGTCCCATTTGACGAAAATTCCCGGAAACTTTCCATCGAACACAATTTTTTTTGCGGAAATTAGTTTTTTGTGCCAGGAGGGTTTTATACCTATATAGAAATATTGAAAAGTAAAAGATATTAAAAATAGTATTTCAGTTCTGACTAATAAAATATAAAAAAAACTACAGACAAAATAAAATCATCATTTTTGAGTTTGCCTGAGTCTATCGTTTTTAAAAATACAGGCTCTGGAGTTGCTACAATTATATTTATTAGAGCCACCCCATTGACATCTGTCTGAAAGAATTCTCATATTATCAGCCTCTTTATCTTCAACTACTTTTTGGATTCTAGCATATTCAGAGTTAAGCATTGTTGTACTTAATTTCTTTCTTCCAGGTAGCTTATAACTTGGACTTAGTTGCATAAAAATATTACATCATTTTATGTTTCCAGCATTGCTACAAGGTGGACTGTTTTTGACTTTCAGTATACTTAAAATTTTGCATAGATAATCCAAGATATTATCTTGTGGGACACAAATACACTTTTTTATATGTTTAACCATTTTGGTTGCATTAAAAACATATATTCTTTTACAAAGCTTGCATTGAGCATGGTCTTTTTTTGCACTATTTTGTAATAATTCCAAATAAAAGATTTTTGTCTTGGCATTGTACTGTACCTATAAATAAACAACAAAAACGTTAGAATTATTTTAACTTTGTTTATTGTTTTTATTTTATTTTCGTTTTTAAAGGCTTTTATGCAAAGGGTTTTTTGCAAACGATTTATGTATTGTGATGATGAGATCTTCAGCAAACTTCTTCTTTATTAAATTAACACAAATTAACTTATTCTTATTCAGTTTCTTGGCCTTAACATCACGAATCAGCTGTTAAAACAATTGACATTTACATAAAAAACAGGAAAAGTTTCCAAGGAAAGTTTCCTGGAATGTTTCCGGTAACTTTAAAAAACCTTTCAAAATAAAAATAAATTCCTGACTGGAAGCTTTTAAAAATTCCCATCTTAAAAAAAAACAAAGCTTTTTAACATCACTAAATTAATAGTGAACTCCTTATCTAAAAACAGTTTTTAGAAAAACGCATTTAGAGTTAGAGCTGCCTATAAATAGTAAAAGGTCCCTTCATTGATTTAAAATTTTTACAGAATTCTTTTAAAATATGAAAAAAACCTTTTTCTTGAAAATTCTTACTTCACCTAATCCAATTAGTTTAAACACGCATAGACTGATAATATTTTTCTTTATAGAAATGAGTTTTTGGCAGTGAGAAATTCAGAGGGAACATTTTTTGTATGCCAGGCAGTACAAAACATTTACAAATCATCGTCAAAAATCAAAATCCGTTGGTTATCCCAAGCTGAGGACGATAAGACCGGTGAAATTTATACGCCAGACTTTTATGACTTAACAGGTAAGGACCTTCGTTATAAATATATTTATAACAATTTTTTGTATATTTTTATTTTGTTCTTTCAGACTTTGATTGCATCCTTACAAATCTAAACCTTACAAGAGTAAACAAAGGAAAATACAGGCTTCCAAAAGCCGAAAAGGAAAGAACTGATAGTATTTTAAACAGATCTCTTGCTGTAGAAAAGGGAGAAGAGGTCCATGAGGAATCCTTTACTGAGGAACACCCTGATGGATGTAAGTATTAAATATACGTTTAAAAAGAACACGTTTTGATTGATTTTTATTTTGTCGCCCAGTATTTTTTTCTTGTTTTAATGAAGTTAGCTAATTTAAAAAATGGCAACTTCATTGATTCAAATCCTAAGCCAGTCATGGCTTAAGATAGTAGTTTTTTTGTTTGAAATCGTGAATATTCATTTTTATTGATTGTAACACAATATGCCCAAGCAACAATTTAAGTATTTGTTACATATATGGGACTATTGAAGAAACTTTAAAGTGTTTTGCGACAGTCGCCGGTCTCTTTATATTACTCTTTCATTACTAAGTTACGACTAAAGTGGGGAACAATTATTGTGTTCCAAAAAGGTAACAAATATGTCACTAGCTATAAACCCTGCTACTATTCGGAACGTAGCTGCTACGTTAATAGAACGTTACAATATCGTTGCTAGAGTGTTATAATTACTTTTATTTGTTTGTTTTTACTTCTATATTAACTGTCTTTGTCAAGCTTATATTAGATTATACTATCCCTCCTTTTTTTAAATGGAACCACTACGGACTTGGCTTTTCAATATCGTCGTTTCTTAAATATGTACTGGTAGTTTATAACTTCCAGAATAACAATATAATGTTTAATTAGGCAGGTAAATTTATAAACCCTTTAAATTTTACTGTTGAACTTATGAATTTAGTTTTTGTAAAATAAATGCGCTTCATCAATATTTAAGTATAAACAAATTATTTATTTAATAATGTTTATAAATAAAGAAATCTTAATATTTATTATTATTTTTTTATTTAATTATTAAGACCGTCTATTACCAACAAAATTACTATTTATTAAAAAGTAAACAACCATTTACAAACAATTAAAATAATTTATTATTTACATTACAACGTGGTACAGTAAAAAATGGCCGATAAGAATCATTTTCCTTTGAAGTAGATTTCACTACTTTAAAGTTTTCTTTCCACCTTAATTTACTTTACGGTAGTTTTGGTTAGTACCATAAACGTTCCAAATACTAAAATAATAACTTTTAAGTTATTAACTTTTTAGTTTTTAACTACAAAGTAAAAATAATTATAATGTAATCTTTAGGTAGCAACCGACAGTAACTGCTACAAATTAAATTTACTTAAAAGTTTTTTTTACTTAAGGCGGGTTTTATAACTCAATTGTTAATTGAATGCATAATTTAATACATAATACATAACTTTAAAATCTGGTTTATACAATTCATTAATTTAGTAAATATTTTATTTTTTTAATTGACAATATTGATTATTGAAAGTTGCAAGTGACACAAAATCCATCATTGAAACTCATGTTATGTAGAAACTTTGTAGTATTTTTAAGGCACAAACACAAAACACAATAATTATTAATCATAACCTTATAAAATGGAGAGATAAAAATTGTTGGCACATGCGCGGTGTAATTTTATTTATAATTCATAATTTATTTCATAAAAGTTAAATTTTGTGAACTTTCAAGGTTATTAAATAAACACTAAATTGTGAGTTACGCATTAAATCCTTGTATAAACTGTTTCATAGCAGATAGTGCGATTTAACTTTTATGCTTATGCACTAAATTGTGAATTATGAAATAAATTAATGATATGAAGTTGTATAAACCCGCCATTATTTATAACACCTTTTTTAAAGTTGCAAAGTCTTCTTGGGGACAACTAGTGAAGGGAGAATCGAATGATTTTTAGAATACTTTGCATTGGAATTCTCTAAAGAATCGAATGATCATTCGAATGCAGAGAATCGAATAGTTTGTTCCGAATCGGAACCGATAATACCCGAAAACATTTATTGAATGAATGTTTTCGGAACAAATTATTCGATTCTTTGTATTCGAATGGGTGCAATATAAATTCTAAACCGGCTGATATACCTACGAATTGATTTATGACATGCTTTCTTTATTTTTGACATAAAACATAAACTATATTATTTTTAATTTGTTTTATTTCAAAAAACGTTTTGTAGAATAATTATTAGTTACTTAGTTTGTTACTTTTTTTATATATTTTTTCAGTTAATTTATATATATTTTTTTAGTTACTGGTTAAGCATGATTTACTTTTTATTATTTTGTTTGTCTCCCACCTTCCGCTCGATGACACTCAAGCGCTTTCGATTCGATTCGAAAGGTTCGAAGTATTCGAATACTTTGTTGAGAATCGAATGCATTCGAATGCACGCCAGAATCAAATACTTTGATTATTTGTATTCGAATAGTCCCTTCACTAGGGACAACCAAGTTTTACTTAAATGTTTATTACTTCATAGTAACCATTTAAGGAAAGAATGAATTTTCTGTTACAAAATAATGCTATTTAAAAGTTAGAATTACTTTTAAGTAAAAATTAAAGTAGCTGTTTAGTATAATTAACTAATTTAAAGTTATCACCACTTTGGTAATGGTTTTTGGAACCAAAAATGCTGCTTGGGTGGTTACTATTATTTTTCAATTTATGCTAATAGTTCCACTCCAAATTTAAAAGTTTTGGTGCATGCAAACAATTTGGTAAGGATAAATTGTTATTGTTATTTATAATTTTTTTTTCAGTGGATATTTCATTGTACACTGAAGAAAGCCAACTGAACAAGAAAAAGGGCAAGAAACGTAAGGCGTCGCCCTCCAAGAGCGAAAAAAAGCCAGTCGCAGTTATAAAAAAATCGCCGGAAGAATCTAAAGTGCGAAAGGTGGTAAAAAAGAAGGCGAAAAAGAGGACGGCCCCCGACGCAACCCCCAAATCGTCGACACCGACTGCAACGTCGAAACCGTCGACGAGCGGCGACGCCTCCAGATCGAACAGAGCGAAAAGAAGAAGCGACAACGTCAAAACGAGTCCCGTTGTCGATCAGAAAAAGGCCAAGGTCTTGGCGAAAGTTGCGAGGAAAACGGCCGTTCCCGCCTCTGCACCCGCACCGGCTAAAAGCAAAGCAGTAGCAAAAAGTAAGTACAGTAGAAACCACGAATATATGAACGTGACTCATCCGGCACATTCGTACGAAGCAATCTATCGAAGGTCACGGTCCAGTGCAGTGCTGTTCTAACGGGGGCATAAGTATTTGTATAAAATCTTGAGTGTAATGTTGGTTGCTATACTTATGATATATTTGCTTTTAAAGTTAAATTTTAATAATTAACATCTACGATAATTAAATAAAATGTAATTTTCTTACAAACTTATTAATAAATAAACTTTTCTTTTAACTTTAATGAAATATTCTATCATCTGATGACAGAATGTACACTCGTAGCGACATCTCTGTTTTTAATATCTAACAAATTTTAGACCGATCCAACCTCACTTTCTTCCAATTAAATTCTTTGTCTATGGTATTTTTTGGAAACAAGGAAAAAGTATAGTCTGAAACACGTTTGGAATTGCATATTCCCCTCTCGTGAAACCGTCAAACTCGCCTTCGGCTCGTGTGACAAACTTTTCACTCGAGCGGAATAGTCCAAAAAACGTACAATAACAATTGCAATAAAGTCCAATAAACATGCAATAACAATTGCAATAAAAACCACTAGCACTACAACGTTTAAAACGATTATTAATCCGTAAACACACAGCAGAAACACGATATGCAAAAACAAATATCATATGACATATAAAAACAAATGGCCGACGGTAAAGTTGTTTGCCTTACTATGTAATAAAATAAAATAAATTGCCTAAAACACGAACTCTACTGAATTCCAAAAAAATAAGTAACAAGCTAGGACACAAGCGTCATATGTCCATCTTTGTCCAACACCTAGGCAGTTTTACATCAAAGATGGCGCATTTTAGACCGGATGCTTAAAAACCTACGTGTGAGTACATTTACCGCTGCATCGAATGTACTAGACAAGTAAAACATTACTGCTAGCATGTCTGAGATATGTTCGGCACCCGATGAGTCACGTTCATATATTGGTGGTTTCTACTTTAGTTATTTTTTTTTTAGTTTTCAACTTTAAAATTCCTTTTATTATAAATTTTTGACCCAAATGAATATATTTTTTTGCAAATCTTGGTGCAAAAATACTAAACTTATAATATCACTTTTTCTATGCACTACATTTTTTTAAAGCAGTCATAGTATTTATTGACATTGACACTTGAATTTACAGTGTTTTCAGTTTTAAAATTATTTTATTCATAGACTTGTTCCAATCGAGCATTTGGATTGTTAAATAGACAACAGGGACATGCTCATTGCGCAATAGTAAAATTGCGACCACATTTTTCATTGCGCATGCGATTTGGTATTGCGCATTAGGGTGGAGCGAAATATGAATATTTTTAAAATTGAAAAAGCCTGTATACAGGGTGTTATGTAATTAATGTTATATATTAAAATACTGAATACCTTTTGACATAAGGAATAAAGGAAAAATATTTAAAAAACATTTTTCTAAAGATAAAGAAAAAATATGCATTAGAAGTTTTTTATATTTTTTGTGATACGCCACTGGTTACACACTTAGTTTATCTCTGCACACTTGTATTTTGTGAGTACATAGATACAACAAACAAAGTAGCTATGCGTTGCCAGATGTAAAAAATTGTTACTAAAAATTTTTCTTCCAAAAAATAAATACAAAAGTTTTATGCCCTTAAAGCTCTAATACCCTTCTGTATTTATTTACTGATCCAGCTATTAGCTTAAGCAATGATTAGAAAATTTAGTACCTTTTAAATTTGAAATCCAAAACCACAAAATTAATTTTTACATCAGTTTTTTTCTCTGTTTACTCAGATGAAATTGGGACCAGTTCACAGGTTAAACTTTAAACATTTAATTTGTGTAAATAAATCCAAAAGCACTTCCCTTAGTTAAGATATTTACAATTTGAAAACATTACCTAAAATTTAAAAGAAATGCACTAGATTCTGTCATAAAAGTTGGCAGATTTTGTCTAAGGTAAATACCTTCAGTACAAAAATGACATAATCAACAATTAATAAAAACGCCAAATTGACAATTTGCATTGTTAATTTTGTCATTTTTGTAATTAAGCTAAATTTAACAATAGGTGCTTTCCTTTTGCCACGATTCTTAGATATTCTTACCTCACCTTGGTTTATCTCACTTTAGAGACCGTTCCATTTGCAAAATGACAGGTAAGCCAAAGTGAGAATTTTACCTCCCCCCTTACCGATCAAGCACTACCTCCGGAGCACACTTACAAATGAGAAATTTTGATTACTTGGTGGTGGGGATAGATGCACGCCAAAAAGTGAGGTTGTACACTTTCTATCAAACAAAACAGAAGAAAATTAAAACAATATACCAATATATACAAAGACTTTGTTATCTATGTTCGTTAAGTCTTTAATCTTTGCGTTAAACCGTTGAGTGAAATGGTTAAACCACAGAACATAAGGGTTAAACTGTCAAGTGTCACTTTTAGAGAAAATAGGCTTACCAACCGTTCCTTTGGTCTATTTTATGTAAGATGAGTGCGCGTAAGTGGCCTCGCTTATCTCAGTTTTGCTTGGCTCACTTCAAAAATGAAAGGAAAGCACCTAATGTTTGTCAACTTTTTTGAGAGATTTTGGAAACACTGTTACCAACCATAACATAATAAATCCACCAGATTAACCTAAAGTTCCTAGTCAATCAGTGGCGTACTTTTTGGTTGGATAAAGGTTATTATAAATTATTTTTAGACTTTGGAATTAAGAAAAAAAGTTTCAGGTGCTTCTTTATGGACCCTAAGGAACAAACCATTTTAATATATAACATTAATTACATAACACCCTGTATAGAAAAGTTGTGTGTGATAAAAATAAATATTTTGGTGAAAAAAAAAATATTTTTTTAATTCCCCCCGCTGCCCCAGAGCTATCCTAAATATAAAAATCATAAAATTCAGAAGAGGGCAAAAAGCGGTTAAAACATTTTTTTTTGAGCCAAGATTTTTTTAGAGCATAACAAACTTTCCCAAAATTGGGCACATTGATTTTCAAAAAAAAGCTAAATGGGGGCTCCCGGTCAATTTTAAAAATACCAATATTTTCATATTTGACATTGCCTCGGGGTCCGCCCATTTCGCTTGTTTTATTTTGAAAATAAAAGTGCTCAACTCTGGAAAAAAAAATTGAAAAATATGAAAATATTTGTATTTTTAAAATTGACCTGGGCCCCCATTTAGCTTTTTTTGAAAATCAATGAGCCCAATTTTGGAAAAGTTAGTTATTTTCTAAAAAAATCTTGGCTCAATAAAAAAAAATTTACCGTTTTCTGCCCTTGTCTGAATTTTATGATTTTTATGTTTAGGATAGCTCTGGGGCAGCGGAAGGAATTAAAAAAATAATTTTTGTTTTTCGCCAAAATATTTTTTTCTATATACAGGCGTTTTCAATTTTAAAAATATTAATATTTCGCTCCACCCTATTGCGCATGTCCCTAGTGTACCTTAAGTCGGTTTCATATAGATGCGAACTATTTTGTTGCTTTTGGAATCATATTCCACTTTTCCTGTTATTTGAGTAGCGTCTTTTGACACCCATATTATTTTCGGCAATCTATTTTTGTCTAAAAATTTAGACAGGTCACTGAAATATATGATTCCTTCTTCTTTTTGAACATTTTTATTATCGATAAACCTATTTAATGTAGATATAGAAGATTAGCTTGTAAGGTCTCATAAAGCAATCTTTCACCAACATAAAAAATATATACTGAACATTTTTTAAGGGCCTCGTCATACCTATTTTTGGTCCGCTTGTATTTTCCAAGGAAATTTTTAACAGTTTAAAAAAAAAAGTCTGTCTTGTTTACCTTCGTCAGAAAATTCTGAATTTTTAATAATGCTTTGTGCGAATTCTGAATTTTGGCTTAAAACTGTTAATATTTTTCCTGCAATTACGAAATATTGAGTTATTAGGGTTTGATTTACATTAATATTTTCTATAACGCGTCGACTTCTTTCTCTTCTATAATATTTTTCCATTGCCCATTTCGATGTTTGCTCGGATTTTTGACTGCAAACTGCACTTTTGCTGGAGTCATCAAACATTGTTTCACAGGTTAGTTCAGGAATTTCAATAATTGACTTGATAATTGACTGTTGGTTGTTTGTTTTCGGTGTCTCTCGTTTAAGTTTACACCACCCTTGTCTCACCTCTGTATTTCCCCCGTATGGCAAACGGATTTTAAAAATTTAAATAGCATCTAATAGAGAATCGAAATACCTCAAATAAGGTATCACAAGCCCACTTCCATTTGAAATTTTTAAGTTGATACTGCCCTCGTGGCACTGCTTAAATAGTCACCTATCAATTTGACGTCAAAAAGTAGTATGCTTAATAACATTTACAATGTTTTTTGTCCAATTACGATACTTTTTTTCCTCCAAAAGATAACTGGGGGGACTTTTAATGTGCGCAATACTGTATATAAAATAAATGTTTATCAAATATATTTTTCGAAATATTTTTTGACGTTTCTAAAATCCAATAGAAAATTTCGAATTCAGTCTTGTGTGTATGTTTTAATCCATCAAAACATTATTAAAGTGGGAATTATTTTGGCTTAAATAATAAACGTCAAAAATAATCTTTTGAATAGAAGTTTTCGAAATATAATATATTATGTCAAATTATTTTTAATTTATTCTTACTCTCTTGTTATATATGAATGTTGATTGCATTGAAAAACTTTTAGGCACAAAAAATTCCAAACCCAGCGTGACCTCCACGAAAGCCACTAAAACAAGTGCACCAGCAAAGCCTGCAGTGGCTACAAGGAAAACCAAGAGGTTGGCAAAAAAATAAATAAAACCCTAAATATAAATTAGATATCTCATATTTGATTCTGTATATTTTTTTATTTCCATTTATTTCTTAGTTTTTTTATTGTTTAAAACGGTTGCCGCGCTCGTTTGTGAAATGATTGCGGCAAATTTTTGTTTAAACATATACGAACAACTTCATTACATATTTTAATGTATTTATAATATATATTGGATTAATAGAATGTATGTATTTCAAATACATACGGTATGTAGAAACCAATCTAGGCCTTAAATAATAAAAAAAGTTTATAAAATTTGTATTGAATTTGTTCTTTGTTATGTTGCAATGTTTATAGCTATAAATAATTATTCTACTTGGCCATTTAAGTGGTGAAAACATAATTTCTATCAAAATTGTATTGTGTAAATCTTCTGCATTGACACATATATTTTGTCCTAAGTTATAATATATTTATTCTTTAAAGTACGGTGTTATCAAAATACCTTTTACGTCCATTTACTTTCTGGCAATTTGACAAAATATAGGTGCAATATTTTTTTATTTAAAAGAACGTTCAATTTTGTAAATAAGTACATGTTTTCAAATTAGGATTTTAAGTTTAAGAAGTAGATATATTACGCTTGAAGCTTTTTAATATATTCAAAGATGAAGTATGTATATGAAAAAATCATATCATTAATTTTTAATTTGCATTTCTCGCCTTTTTAATTTATATTTTCGATGTCAAATTGTTGGTTTAATATACGTACCACAATTTAACTAATCAGTGTAACTTTAAATTTTAAATCTGTTTAACTTTATGTTAATTTATTGTGTAGTTTTTCCATGTTTAATTTATTGTGCCATGTGTTGAACAAAACTAATTGGTAAATTTTGGAGTGTATAATTATGAAAAAATTGTACGGAACAGAGTTCTAAGTATGAAGAAAATAAGGTAACATTTACCTTAATTGACAATTTAAATATTAATGATCCTACCAATACAAAGAGTCAATGCATGAGGTTTAGATAAATAATTTCTTGCTCTCAAAATTCATGCCACACAAACCTTTTTCATGTTCATATATTATTTTTTGTACTAGCACTAGTATTAATATTGTTTAAGTTCTCATTTTGTATGTATATTTCAAAGCTCTACTTAGATTTTATGAGCAAAACAATATAAGTTAAATATGATTGTATTGTTTCGATAAAAATAAATAAAATTTGAAGAGCCTGACAAGGTTTGTTTGATATCTGCAGCAGAAAAGTTTAATTAGTAAAAAAATATTCTGTGCGCCATTTCAAAAAAACCTGAATACTCTTTTTAATAGATAATGACACAAGATGAAGAATTTATGACCAAGACATATTTCATTAAGGACAAAAAAGGCACACTTCTGTTTAATTTATTAGATTGTAGTCAATGTATGTGTTGTGCTTAAACAAAGTTAGGAATTAAGGAATCATAAGGAATGGATGTTGATGTAGTCTTGTGAACTGTCAAAATTTTGATCTGAACTCAAAAATCTATTATTTATAAAATTATAAATGGTTTTTTCAATAAAAAATTAATAAATTATACTAGTATATTTTTTACATAGTAACATGCAGTGGCATGCAGGCTGAACCAATGCAGGTTTGATATAGTAGATCAGTCCACACCTAAGGCAACTTCATATAGGTCGTGAAAAAACATCACAATATAAAATAAAACCACATTAACCTATGTAGTAGAAATAATATAAACCTACAAGTTTAGATGATACCTCAGATTATAAAACGTCCCTAGATATCTCTATTTTTACAACAAAGTACTGTTTTCAGCTAGATTTTGTGTTATTATATTATTCCCATACAACACAAGGATGTCGGACGCCGATAGGCTGCTGAACGCCTGCTGCAGGGAATTCAATGAATGCCAAACCTTTATCACTGCTTAAAGAAAGTTATCTAATCGCTAACGTACCAGAAAGGTAACTAAATATTTTTCATTTATATTGCAAGAAAAATTTATTATTTTAAAACGAAATGTTTATAAACAAGATTTGTGTCAATTGATCTATTGCATTCAGATACTTGAAAATTTTGAATCAAAATGAGCATAAGCAATTAAATTATTCGATTCTTTGCATTCGAATAATTATTTAATCCTCAAAGTATTTGAATACATAGGTAGTATTTGATTCTTAAAACCATTTGATTATTCCTTAACTAGTCTTGTTAAAATTAATTTATATTACAGGTATTTTATTATTTTCTGTTACAAATGTATTAAAATTTTCCCAGTTACTGATCAGTTAATGACGTACTGTTTGTAATTTTGGAAATTTTTTGAAAATATTGTCAACTTTAAAAATTTGAAGGATTTTGTATTTTAAAAAGGTTAAAAGAGTTAAAACATAAAATTGTATTGAAATTAATCTAAAAAAATGAAAAACTTATAAAATAAAATAATTTTTAGTATGATTTTAAGAGAGTTGTTTAAACTTTTTTTTTATAAGAAAAGAAATTCTAATTAAATGCAAACTAATAATGATCGCACATTAGACTAAATTAATAATTAACCGTTACATTGGGTTACATTTTAAGTGTCTGAATAATTTTTAAAAATGCAAAGCAGAGTTTGATTATCACCCAATGCCAGTAAGTGGGCGACTAAATATATACACACAACTTTTATTTTTATTATTTTCTAAAAAAATAATTCAATATATTAATTTTTCTTTATTTCACGTATTATAACAATTAAATGATACAAAAATATGCAACAATTTTGATCATGTGTGTACGTCACCGTGTGAGTTATTCCCCCACTCTTAAAACCGAATGATGCGTCAGCTGTATATACTAAAAATGGCGCCTCTACATGCTCGGCGCCCTGTGCAGGTGCACAGGTCGCACACCTTTGGAGCTGGACCTGAATATATTATTTTGCAGAAGAGATACAGAAAATATTATGGGAATTTGAAATAAAATCGTGATAGTTAATTAAGTTTTTTCTAGAAAAGGTTGAACATTGTTAAAATAATGCCATACACTGTGGTGAGTAGTCTTTATTTCCAAAATAAAAACAATTGCCTCTACACAATACTAAAATGAATTTTCGTCAAAATAGATTTTCTTACGATATAGATTTAATTTGGTCCACAGTTACATGAATTGTATTATACCTATTCTTACATGAATTGTACTATATAAGCGTGCATGCATTTATAACACTATAGTTTTATACTTTTATAATCATAAGACATAATACAGCCATTTGAGTTAAATTATGGACACAAAATTAGGTCGAGGATTTAGAAAAATACTGTGCTTTGTTTAATCATACATATTATGTGCGAACACTGATATATCTAATACACTTGCTGGACTAACAGATTCATGATATTTGAATATGTATTATCTGATATCTAAATTTAACAAAATGATATTCCTACATACGACAATATAATCTACGTACGTTAGCCCAACATCGCACTCCTACAAGGTTCTACCACACTTTTTTTTGGAATATTAGGAAAGCCTGAGTTCTTTAATGGGGCCCTCCTCAGGGCTAGGGCTGTCGTCTCTCCTAGATCTAACTCTGACCACCTGGCGATGATTGTTTTCATCGCTCGATTGAGGGCTAAAAGTTCCTCCAGCCCCGTACTGTAGACCGTGCCCGGCACCAGCCAGTCGCACCTTCTCCGAATTAGTGTCTTCGTTAGTTGTAAACAAAAGTCCCAAGTTTAGTTGGGGAATGTCGTAGAATACTGCTAGAGTCAGCATCATGAATGTGATGCCGAAAAATAAATATCCTACAAATATAGAATAATAAAATATGTATACCTAATATAATTACAACATTGTTGCCACATTTTTTAAAAACTTTATTTTCCTTGACTTTTTCTCTGACCAAGGGACTTAAAATGAATTTAATTGGTTAATTTTCTTGGAGGAATATAATTTATTTAAATCTTAAAGAGATTAATAAAAAGAAGTTTTTGGTCCTAGACATAATCCAAAATATATGACAGTCACGAAAATAAATAAAAATATCAGCTTGCGATCCAAAGACGCGTACACAAAACAACTCCAAAGCCAGGAAGTGGAAGTGTCATTAGATTACTTTGATGTCGATGACTATAAATCTGACAAAAATTTAGTTGTAACTGGTTATAAACCAGATAGATATTTTTATATTCTTTTAGGACTTTTATTATATTTTAGATTTTGTTTAAATTTGGTTTTTTCTAATAAATTTATGTTTAAGTTTATGTCTATTAATGTTTAAGTCACTTGTCTGATGATTCTATATCTACATTGAAGATAAGGAAATAAAAATGACCATAAATGACAAAAATGACATATAAATGACATGTCACGTGTCACATAAATAAATGACCGTCATTTTCCCTAGTCTCAACTGTTAAATTGTAAAAAATTGAAGTAAACGTTGCTTACCTATATTATAAACATTGCTTTCGTGTTTTTATAAGCCTTATAACAACACAACACAAAAACAGTGTTTATTAGACTGGGCCAAAAAAATCAACTTTTTTTTTTTGCAAAGTATATCGAAAATATGGTTTGGGGTGACAAAAAAAATTATTGTGAAAGTTTGAGTCCATCATATTAAGAGGTCTATCATCGCAATTTTAATTTTTTTTCCTCAGCAAGTTTTTGTCTCAGAACTCCCAAACCATTGACTGGAAAACATTTTTTTTTAAGAAAATTGAATGCTCTACAAAAAAGGTTAAAGTGAAATTTTTCGTCAGATGAACCGTTTCCCTAAAATCATGCCTTAAAAATTGGTATAGTTTTATATTTTGATCTTTTAAATTGGAATTTTTGAAATTAATGTAAAAATCAGTACCCATAAAAAACCAATAAATATTCTTATTCTTTTGATTGAGTGAATTTAGCCAAAAATGTTAAGAGGTTTTTTTTGTAAAGCAGCCCATAAGAATATTCATCGCTTTTTTTCTGGGTACTGATTTTTACATGAAATACAAAAGTTAAAAGATCAAAATGTAAAACTATAACAATTTTTTAGGCATGATTTTAAGGAAACGGTTCATCTGACAGAAAATTTCGTTTTAACCTTTTTTGTAGAGAATTCAATTTTCTTCAAAAAATATTTTCGGGTCAATTTGTTGGGAGTTCTGAGACAAAAACTTGCTGAGGAAACAAAAATTAAAATTGCGATGATATATATCATCGCAATTTTAATTTATATACCTCTTAATATTAATATTATGGACTCAAACTTTCACAATAATTTTTTTTGTCACCCCAAACCATATTTTCGATATACTTTAAAAAAAAAATAGTTGATTTTTTTGGCCCAGTCTAGTGTTTATAAATACTTTTCTTTGTTTTCTTTTGCAATAACCAAATAACACATCTTTTATTAATTCCGTATATTTATTTTAATCTCTATAGGTACCTATATATAGCATTTCTCTGCTAAAAGTCTTATTAAGACTTATTCTGACTTTTTCCGGCTTAATAAGTCTTATTCTGACTTTTTCCGACTTAATAAGACTTATTCAGAGTTTTTAAGAAAAACTTAGACTTTCAAAACTCTTACTTTTACTTATTAAAACTTTTTCAGAAAAAAAAATCCGCAAGGGGAAAAAAATTCGAGCTAACTTTTACAAACTCAGCGAGGGTTTTGGTATTGGATAGGTATATTATCAGAAAAAAGTAGTCCGGTAACCGGTTTGATTTCGTTGACCCGAAAATTGTCGCACAGTACTACAAAGTTTACCTAATTTTACATTTTTTATGTTTTTTACATTGGTGTGTAATTAGCATTTTTGAAAATTGTTAAACATTTGTAGATTTTTCGCAACCATTTGTTGCCTAAATTTAATTTGTACTTGTTTTTATATTTACCTGTAGTAGCTATTTTGTAAAAGGGCCTGTAAGGTTGATCGGGAGAATCCCCTGGAATATAATCACCCAATCCAATGGTTGTTAATGATATGAAGCAATAGTAGAACGAGTCCAGAAAATCCCATTCTGGTTCAATTGCAGCAAATATTGTTGCCGGAATCAGTAAAAATAATCCAACCATTAAAGAAACTAAAAAATAATGAAAATGCATCTTACTATTGCTCAGCATTTTAAACAGTTAAAAATGTCAAAAGGATGCTTTGCCACTTTCTAAAATGGCAAAAACAAGTTGGTGACTTTTAAACCCATTTTAGGTAATAACAAATACTTAAATTTTCCTATGAAAAAGCCTGAAAAAACTCATGTCTTAGTAATTTATATCTACAATGTAGATTCTAGGTACAACACTAAACCAAACCAAACCTTGGTTTAGGGGTATAACAAAAGGACTAAGAAAATAAACCCACCCATGATTTTTGTTAAATTACGTAATTAAGTAAGTTTAGATACTAGTAACTCGTTTTAAATAGATACATGCTGCCTGAAAAGCTTAAAAATTGTTTGCAGATCTTACCTATTATAAAAAGATGGAGCAGCCTTATATTAAAGGGTTGATACAAATGCCCAAGTCTGGAATTAAGCCATTGCAGAAGCCAAATTGTTGGCACCAAAAGTCTTTCTACCAAGGCGGACAATAAAACCAGAGTTAAGGGTATGCCGACTACAGCATAGAGCACGCAAAACACTTTACCGCTTCTGCTGAGCGGGGTAACGTGACCGTACCCTATAAAAATGTCATTATTTGAGTTTTAAGATTGCCTGTTGTTTTGTGTTTATGTACCGATTGTGGTCACTACGGTCGTAGAGAAGAACAACGACTGTCCAAAACTCCAGTTCGGTTCTCCTGATGCATTTCTAGCTGCAGATACGCCTCTATTGCTGGCTTTAACTATTTCGGTGATCAAATCTTCTAAAGCTTGATCTGAAAATACAAAGAAATAAAACTATAATGACAATGTTTATTAATATTTTTGCAAGCAATGCTGTTTAAAAAAAAATGTATTTTTTTAACATCATTAAAATAACCTCGCCTGGTAAGTATGCCATATCGGAATTAAAAATATACATTTTTACAAGAGTAGTTTTCAAGGTATTAGGGATTTAAAAATAAAAAAAACTTGGCAACGCTGTGCTGAATATCACCTAAGAAGGGTTAACAATGGTTATGGATTCTTTTACAATAAATCATATTAAAAATTGTTTTTTTTTAACAAAAGAGGTACCTAATACTGTGCTTGTTTTTTAAACTAAATATATATGTTTAAAGTATTTAAACATTATTACAGTTAAGTATTTGCTTTGTTAAGAAAAAACGTGATGAAAGCTTCAGGTAGTAATGGTATTGGTACCTGTTTGTCTGCATAAACTGTGTCCTTTCAAAATAAAATGTTTTCTGAAAAAGTCATTTAGACAAAAACGTAAGGATGTTCCCAGAATGTATGAGGTGCATCTCACGTCATCCTAGAAAGATATATCTTTCTAGGATGACGTATACTAAAGGGGTGTTTGTAGGACATCACAAATGATGACATGAGCAACATCCCAAAGATGTTTCAAGAAAAAAAGGGAAATTCTAGAGATGTTTCTATTATCCCAGACATATGGTTCTAGAATATCTCTGAGATGTTCCCTAGTAGCAATGGAGTTGGGCAAGATTCTTTGTCAAGATACTTGGAGAAGCACTTTGTAAAGAATTGGACAATTCTTGACCAAGACTCTTGATCAAAATTCTTTATCCAGACTGGACAAGTCTGTGACCAGAATTTGACGGTCAAATTTTGACCAGATTCTTGGCCAAGAATTTTTACACGATTACACGTTAAATAGGAACTTTCAATTCAAGATTTTTGGTCAATACAAAATTTTGTTGAACTTCAAAAGTTAAGAATGTTACTAAAAACATTAGTTTTCCACGATTTCTTTCCAGTAAATTCGGTTTTTATCCATAAATCTGGTAAACAATAGAATTAAAAACGAAACAAATTTTGAAAGAGTTAAAGTTTTTAATTTTCTATGTTAAAAAAAAACAGGTGCCCGTAAAAATAAACATGTATTTTATAATCTTGGCCAAGAATCTGGAACAATTCTTGTACAATTCTTGAGCAAAAATCTGTCCAAAGTATCTTGACCCATGCTGGGCCAAGACTTTTCCGGAATTGCTACTAGGGTTACAGTGTTATTAGGGTATGCATGAAATCATCGTGACCTCTGTTGTAGAATATAATTTAATTTTTTTTTACAACTTTTACAACTATATAAATTACTAGCTCATAATGATTAATGGACTTAGGCCATAATCAATCACTTCATGAAGTGTCGAGTGTTGATAACAATAAAATTTAATTTATAGACGGCTGGAGTATAAAAATAGTTTACTCTTAAAACAGTGCATACATAAACTGGAAAATGCCCTGACTAATAAATCCAAGTAAATAAGATTCTGAACAATAAAAAACGTTAAGATTATTTCCATACACATACACAAAAAGAAAAAATTATTTGCAAGAAAAATTGCATCTTAGCAACACGATAACCTAAATAAAAAGGAGATAAGCGAACAAGTATACTTACAAGTTATTCTGATTTATACAAATATTATTTTTTGTTTTCCTAATTTTTGTTTTTAAACTAGATAGTCATAATAAAGATATATTTTAATTATAAAAGTATTTTTTTTATTTATGGGAATTATGAAGGCATTACAAAGTTTGAGAAGTTTGGGATTGTGGCTTAAAGCTACCTATGTAGTAAATAGTATATTTTGTAACAAGTTTGGAATACGGCATATTCAGCTCGAGTGAAAAGTTTGTAACACGAGCCGAAGGCGAGTTTTACGGTTTCACGAGAGCGGAATATGCAATTCCAAATGTGTTTCAGACTATACTTTTTCTACGTTTCCAAAAAATACCATAAAAAATTGTTTAACTGGGAGAAAGTGAGGTTGGATTGATCTAAAAGTTGTTAGATAATAAACACAAATATGGCGCCACCAGTGTTATTCCGTCATCCGATGAAAGAATAATTCATTCTGTAACACTTTAAGGAATATATGTAATTCCACATTAAAAAGTGATGTCAGAACGGTTATATTCCGCAATAGGAGGAGAAAAAATATTTTATTCAACTTCCATTTCATTTCTTAACTATAGTGGGGGCGGAAGTTCGCTTTAAGTTAAATTTGGAAAAAGTGGGGTTAAAACAGCTGTCAGATGTCATATAAAATATCCAATAAAATTGGCTGTGTTTAAATTGTTTATGGTTGTTGAATAAAATATTGTGTACGACTATTGGCCAAAAGAGGAGATTTTACACCCACTAGTCGTACAATTTACATTTTAGTACTTAAGCAAGTAGACAATATATTGTCTACTTGCATATTTTAACAAAGATAATTATAATTAGAAGTGGTCTGACTTTTTTTATTTATTAATTGTTCAAAGCTACGAGATAAGAAATAATTGTAATGTAAACTGGCTTTTAGTTAACCTAAATGATAAAAAACAATAATTGCCAAATAAAAAAATAAAATTTCACTGTCTGTCAAAATAATTTATCTCGTAATTATATATTTAAATAATATTTTTTTAAGCCTATAACACTCATTTGCCTATATAAAAAGTTAAATTATAATACACTGCCGTACAATAATAAAAATGCATTGAAATTACATAGGAAGAGTGGTCATCTATCGCGTTTAACATGAAATCAGGAAAGAAAATGTAAAATTATAGGCCACTGTAGAATAAATTCATGTACATAACCTATAATATAACATATGTCAACGTCAAACCTGATGTCGCAAAGTCGATAATTTCAATGTAAATACATCATTATTAGTCTTGAAAAAAGTATATACAACACGGCGAAGAAAGCATACTAACTGCCTCGCTTAGATCTGCAGACTCTGCTAAGGCCTCGGCAGCGAACACTGAACTCGGCTTTAAATAAGCGCTTTCTCCGTCTCTTAGATAATGTACTTACTATTTCCAACATAAAGTTCTTTTTTTATTAGGAATTTGACAAATTTGATTATGTTGGTATTGTATGTTAATATAATTTATTCTTTAAAATTGGTACTCCTGTTCAAGCCCTTAATTTTAAATACTTTGAAATTTGCCATTTATCTTTGATGAAATGTAGGTGACTTTACGGCCCGAAGAGGCAACCTTGCATTACCACGTATATTTCATCAAAGGTATCAAACTCATGCCTATTTGAATTTTCAAAATTTTGAATCATTATTAATTTTGAAAATAAGAAAACAAAATTTTAGGTAATGCCATTTCAATGCTTATTTCCAAAAGGTTGAATTATAGAGGTGTATAGGATGACGCCACGTTTGAATATCGTTTTCTAAATCTCCCTACGGTATAGAGTTGTATTCGTCAGTCGAGCGTTTCAATACTCTCCACAGTATAGAGGTCGTAATTTCACTTTTGAACTAGTATTAATATAAAAATGATTTTATGCTTAAAAAAAACTATATACGACATGATTGTGATTTTTTTCATTTTATTAATTAATTAAGCTGTGTTGAATATTTTTCCTAAAGGAATAATTGCCAATGGGCCATTAATTCATTTGTTCGTAGATGCTACAATAACCTGCACTGCTATGTACTTTTTAATCAACCAGATTTAAATATTGCTGAACTAACATAAAACTACCAGTGGAGATGTGCAGGGTCTACCAACAGACCTAATTACTAAATTATTAAAGTTTAATAGCATATCGATCATTTTTTCAACATAACCTCTGAAATTTTTAATACAAATATAGGTATAATACATAAATATACTTAACATCATATCATCTGTGCTTTACATACCTGAGTTGTTACGGTTACTTAAAAGCAGACAAAGGAACCAAAGAAAGGAACTATTTTCAACAAAATCATATGCAGAAAGGAGAAAATTCAAACTACTTGCATCCATCAAAAGATCAAAACTTCTTGCAATATTACACCCTCTTTTTATACTCTTAGAAATATTGACTAGAACAGTATTAGAGAGACTCCAGTTTCTATAACTTGGTAGAGTAAAGAGAAGTCGAAACCGTTGCGATATTGCATTGCGCTGTTTTTGTATAATTCTCGGGGACATTAACGAAAATCATTGCCAGTAAAATTCGAAAAGCTTGAGTTTCTATGTCTCTGAGGAGAATAGGAATCCGAAGTTGCTGCACCATTGGACTGAACCCTTTTTTAATAATTTCTAGAGACATAAATGACTGCACCATTCGACAGGGTCGAGTTTCTACTCCTCTGTTGAATATAGAAAATCAAAATAATGTATCTTGTAAGACACCATTGAGTTTGACTTTAAATATAGTCGTGCATAGGTATAGAGCCGAAAAATATAAAAACAAAGCACGATTCAATACAGTTATGATAAAACTTTAAGATTTGATATTCAAACGCGGAGTCATCCTATACACTTCTATAATTTTCCGTTTGCTGTGTAGGTACTAAGAAAACCCAAAAGAAAAGTTTTGTTTAAAATAAAAACCTAAACAAAAATATGTTAGATAAAGGTACAGGGTGATCCCCTATAATGTCGCCCCCCTTTAACTTTTTTATTTTAAGTTTCCCAAAAAAATTAAAAGTGTGGTTATGTAGGAACTAAAAAATACTTTTTTTCTACGTATAAAGAAAATTGGAAAATTGATCAGTATACAGGGGAAAACAAAAAGTTTCTTTTTTTTCAATGGATCGCCCTATATATGAATTTATTTTTCGATTCCTTGTAAAATTCTAAGCATATTTCATTTAACATACCATATATCTAAATTCAACCGTTTCTGAAATATTCGCATTCGAAATGTCATCATTAAATGTTTTTTTAAACTGTTAAAAATCAAGAAGCCTCAGTATACCAAAATTTTTATTTAAAATAGATTACTATAGTGACATTATGTCAATATGTGTTGTTAAATAAGTAAAAATGGCGTACTCAGACAGAGAAAGACAAACTATTTCAACTTATTATCTTAAAAATAATTTAAATATTTCAGAAACGGTTGAATTTAGGTATATGGCATGTTATATGAAATATGCTTAGAATTTTACAAGGAATCGAAAAATAAATTAATATATAGGGTGATCCATTGAAAAAAAATAAACTTTTTGTTTTTCCCTGTATACTGATCAATTTTCCAATTTTCTTTATACGTAGAAAAAAAGTATTTTTTAGTTCCTACATAACCACACTTTTAAATTTTTTGGGACACTTAAAATAAAAAAGTTAAAGGGGGCGACATTATAGGGGATCACCCTGTACAAAAAACAATATTATTAACCAAAAAATCTGTTTGCCTTTGCGGTAGTTTTTTGTTACCGAATTTGCCATTTTAGGGCGTCAAACAATACTATTTTTAAAATCTTAAAATTGAAATTTCGATTTGATCGAAATATTTTTAATTTCAAAAACATATTAAAACCAACAAAGGATTTGCTCAAGAGTTTTGTAAAAATGTTGTATTCGAGGTTGTATTAAAAAAATAATTAAAGGTAAAATTACAGTACAAATAGCATAAAATAAAGCAGATATACATACTATATGAATTTTGTTTTAAAAACTTAAAAGGTTAAAAATTACCTGTCACATTTGGATGATCGACCAAGAATTTATTAATAACCGAGTCTAATTTAGCCTTCATAGCCTGCTCTCCAGGGCCTTCTAAGATACTAAATATTGCGGCCCCGCAAAATAAGTACAGCAAATACGTGAACAAAAAAACGGAAAACAAAAATTCTGTCCTGCAGACTCCCAAAAACCTCGGCCCTTCGTATTTTTTCGTGTAGGTGGGATAAATCGGTATTCTTTCATCATCCACATTTTTTAACGTTCCGTAATTTTTTCGTTCCATTTATTAAATTTATTCACAACTTAATTATTTTAATATATACAGGAAAAAGTCTTAGGAACTATAGGGATATATCACAATTTTTCTTTATAACACTTAAATTGATTTGTAAACATTGTCCGTTCTTCCATTATTAAAATTTAACACAATTTTAATAATTTTCACCCACTAAACGCAACTGCAAACGAAATACTACTACCGAAGTGAACTCGTCGCCTTTAACATAAGTAGGTTTTCCCTTATCTTAACAAAATAACGATATGACTATAGTACTTAGGTACACTTACAAATCTTTAGGTAAATCGTGCTTAATTGCAATTACATTTAATCTTTTGTAAATATTAAGTTTAACTATGTAGGTAGGTATACTTGTTTATTATATATACATGCACTTAAATATAAAACGAACTTTAATATTTATAAATACTGTTAAAACGTTAGAGTGTAACTTTCAAATCATATCAAGTTTATTGCTGTGCTAGACAGGGTATAGTCTATACCGTATAGATGATAACAGAAAGTTTTTGTGTATTATAATCCACATTATCATTATAAAAATACTTTTACAGTACACAGTGACATTATTTAAATGTAAAACTTGAGCATATTACAGTTAATATGCTAGATTCCGAATTTAAGGCAGAATGCCTATCGTCAATTTTGATAGGCCTTTCAAAAGTCTTAGTGCAAAATGTGTTTTGGACATTTTTAGTGCGATTAAACCCAACATTATTTTTGCCTATAGTACTTACTTACCTATACTTACTTGAAACAAAAATATGACTAAAATGCCCAAACTTTGCCTAAAATGCCTAAATGCCACCATTTCTTATATGGTGTATTTTTAAATTACTTTTTTTTAAATAACCCAAACAACACAGTACGTTTTAAAAATTTTTGGTTGTATTTACGTTCGTACGTCTTAAGACCAAAAAATATGTATTACCTAAGTACGTACTATACATTATGTACATAAAATGTAATGTTCAGTCGTCCTCAGTACGTACATAGTATGTACGAAGAAGTTATGTACAAAAAACTTAACCAAAAGTTTGAACAAAAAACTTATGATCTCCTATAAATAATTTCAAATTCTTATTTTTTATACATACCTACCTAATAATAACAAATGATAGATTAAAATCAAAAAGGAACTGAGTTCAATTTTGAAATAAAAATAAAATAAACTAACAGTCTATATTTATCATTAATCGAAGATACAAGCCCTTTTATTTGAATTTATTTGAATTGGGTAGTACCTAAGAATTTAGTCATAATTTATTTTTAAGGATTGATTTTATTGAAAATGATAAAAAATTTTGTTAACTAGTGAGAATCAAACTCAAGACAGTAAAAAAATCTATGTGGTGGTAATAAATATATATATAATATATATATATATATATGTATATATGTATATGTCCTCAGAAAAAGAAGCATGTTCCAAAGTATTTAGTCAGGTAAGCTTAGTTTGTTAGATCATTGTATTGTATTCTACTTGTAAAAAAAATTCCATTAACAAATATTCAAACCCTAAAACAAATTTTTAGCGGTTTCAAGGTTGTGTAATCTACACAGAAAAAAAGGAATGGTTAATTTAACTATATTAATTTAGTTGACCCATATTTATTTAAATCAACTGTGGGTAGGTTAATGTAAACAAAGATTAGTTTGGTTAAATTAACCCAGACAGCTTTAGTGAAACCAACCCGCTGAATGATTCAGTTTACTAAATGTGTTTTTTGTAAAATAAGAGTTACTATTACGATTAAAACAATTTGCCATGCATTCCTGGTTGCATAGTATGTAATGATCGCGGCAAAGGCGGTGTGGATCACGTGATGTTCTTAAATCTCGCCCCTGTTAACTTACATTAAGAGTATATAAGCTCAGGTAGTCCTTTGCTTTGGTGTGACACTACAAGTTGTACGATACTAAAGAGACCTTAAATAGGTGGAAACAGATGTCAATACTTGGAGTATTTTAAGTTGGTGGAACGCACTAAAAACATTATCTCTAGCGAGGTGAAGGTTCAATTTTCTGGAATAATACCACTGGTATTATACTAGTAATGCGTCAAGGAATTTCATGTTTCTTGAAAAATATAAAAAAATGTTTTAAAATTATATTTAGTCAATTCAACCAAATGTATTTAGTTAAATCAAACAAATAAAAGTTAGGCTAACTAAAGCTTTTTTCTGTGTACGGTATAAAAGTACGATTTATTTGTGTACAAACCAAAGAACATATGTTATTTGTTACAAACTACGTTCTAAGTAAGTACTTAGTTAATGTACATACAAAAAACGTATTATCGAGTGGAATTTGGACGTACTTAGTACTTACTTAGGATGTACATAAGATAACGCAGTACGTACGTAAAATGTAAGGTACGTCGAAGGTCGACGTACTACGTACATAAAATGTATACTGGTTGTTTGAGAAAAAATCGATTTTTTTTTAAAAACACGTAACAGAATAGTACGTAAGCTAAATCGCAGCATACTCTGGTGTTTGGTTGTAGACACAAAATAAATAAACACACGGATTTTTAAAAGCACTAAACCTCTGCTCACAGTGGCAGCTGGTGGATTTTAAGTATACCAATATCTCAGTTATTACACATGGGACCCACACCAAATTTATAATAGTTTATATTGACATTAAATAAACAAGTTCGGCGCAAACAGAATTTAAATTGAAGTTTGCGAAAAAAAGTTAGTTTTTTCTGTCGCCTACCCTGCCTCCAGGCCCCCCTATTTGAGATAATTCAAATTAAAGTGGTGCAATTTATTATCTACTATAATTTATCGACAAATTTAAAATTTTATTTAAAAAATCCAAATATTACAGTTTTTATACCATTTTAAATATTTTTTTATTTTAATAAAATAAATAATAAAAATTTAAAATCGAATAAAATCTGTAATATTTGGATTTTTTGAATAAAATTTTAAATTTGTCGATAAATTATAGTAGATAATAAATTGCACCACTTTAATTTGAATGATCTCAAATAGGGGGGCCTGGAGGCAGGGTAGGCGACAGGAAAAACTAACTTTTTTTCGCAAACTTCAATTTAAATTCTGTTTGCGCCGAACTTGTTTATTTAATGTCAATATAAACTATTATAAATTTGGTGTGGGTCCCATGTCTAATAAGTGAGATATTGGTATACTTAAAATCCACCAGCCGCCACTGCTCCGACTCTATGCTCCGACCAGGGCCGGGCCTAAGGGGGGTGTAGGGGGGGAGTCACCCCCCCCAAAGTCCTGGCAGTTGGTTCCAAATCCAAACACGGTTGGCAAAATCTATAGTATTTGGGTCGGTTGGTTGGGTATACCTACCCTACCAACCAACCCATCACAATAAATAAAATGAAATATAATTTTTAAACTTTACCTACATATTACAAAATTATAATTTTTAATCTATTGTATCCTCCAAGAAAATTGTATTGGTCAACCTTATTTTTATTAAAGGACATTATATTTCACACAAGCGGCATGTACAAAGTAAAACTAGTGTCAATAAATAGGAATTAATTTTTTTTTAATATGGAAAAGAAAGCTAGACCGGGCCGAGTTCTAGTAAAATGCTCATTATGTGGATCTGTGTTTAACAGGACTAGAAAAAATGCACGAGGAAAATATTCACGGTGGAAATTTGGTTAAAATTAAAATTGTTACTGTTCCGAATAATCCACTTACATTGGTAGCAAATAAAAAAAATAGAGACTTCAAAAGAGCATGCTAATGGTAGGTAAAGACATTCTTTATCTACACTTTACAACACTTTACATTCATGATAAAACTACTGAAAATTTTTACTATTACTACTAAAATATCGATAAAAAAATAAGTTGGTTTTTTTTTATCTTCTCCACCCCCCCAAAAAAGTGTGCCTCGGTACGCCCCTGGCTCCGACCTATGCACGGAGCGATCCAAATCAAAATTCAGATTTTAAACTGTGTTTATTTTTTTTGTATGTCGTGCTAAATGTTTTTCCTATTAATAAAAAATTTGTTTGACACAATTTAACAGAATGTTAACAGATGTGTTAAAATAATTTTTTATTTATATTTTAATTATATTAGAAACATGCCTTTTAGCCTTTTTCGTGCCTATTTTGGCTGCCTTTTTTCAATTTGCCTTTTTGACCACGAAAATTTTGTTAGTGCAGCACTGTAATAAAAAAGTTGTATACATCGAAAAAACCTACAAAATTCATATCAACTGTTTTCCTACGATATACCGTTTCAGTTATAGCTCAACGGTTTTTAATTTGGAAATAAAAACTTGGTATTAACTGTATATCCAAACGTTCTTAGGAAAATTACATTTTTTCTCTTTATTTAATTTAATTCGGGGAAATACAATAAATAAAATTATTCCTCTAATGCCTTTGTTCACCGCCCAAAACTTTGCAAACTTAATAAATAAATAAAAACTTAAGCAAATAATTTTGCGTTCCTTGCATTATATTTCTTATTTTCAGTTGTTCATCATTAGGATTTAAGTTGTATTTCTAGTAAATGTATTCCAAGTTAAGGCTTTAATTAAAATTACCGCGAAACTGATTAAAATTACTATTTAATTAAAATTTTAATCCCGACTTAATTAAGACGATAACTTTGAGTAATCTTATTTTAAAGTAATTATTTTATTTTTAGAGGATCTTCAATTTTTTTTATAAATGTGAATTTTACATGAAAGCATTATTTGTTATTTGCTGAAATTGGCATGATTTATGTTGCGAAGCACTTTTCAGTTGAATAAAGTAGATTTATCAAAAAAACTCCGTACATTTAAAACTTGAATATTTTGTAACGATATTTCGAAAGCACTATACACTAGGGTGGAGTGAATTTTTTTAAATTTATTAATATTATATTATTAATTGTTGACTAAAGGCGTAAAATGAATAAATATCGAAAAAATATTCCAATTTTTCAATATCTTGAGGTGGCGCATCAGTCTCGAAGTTTTGAAAATTATAAAAAA